CCCCCCCCCCCCCCCCTTACCACTCATGTAAGAAATTGTATTTTTCAAATATCTGATGAGCCTGTTGACATATACTGTACAGTAGGATGCTGTACTTAGCGATGGTTCACCATGTTGCAATTATAAGTAAGCAATTACTATTGTCATGAAAGAAACTGTTTTATGTTAATGTGGGTACCCCAAAACTTTGTTATACACTCAAGCAACAGCAAAGTTTTGATACAGTGTCTGCACAAGAACTTAAGCTAAAAATGTTGGATTTTTTATTCTAGGCACATAGATGGAAACCACAAACTAATTCAACCATACAGAATAGTTATACATGGAGGTATTGATGGATATTCACGTTTACTTGTTTTCTTGCAAGCATCGACCAACAACGCCGCTGCGACTGTGTTGAATCTATTTCATTCAGCAGTTGAGAGGTACAACCTACCATCTCGGGTTCGTTCCAATCTTGGTTTGGAAAACATTGAAGTGGGAAGATATATGCTTCAGCAAAGGGGGATTAATCGTGGAAGTATCATTACAGGCACATCTCTCCATAACCAACGCATTGAGCGACTTTGGCGTAACGTCAATAGAGTTATAATTGTTTCTCGGTTTCTGAATATTTTTTTATATCTCGAGGGGAATAATATGCTAGATCCATCCAATGAAATGCACTTGTTTGTCCTTCAATTTGTGTACTGTATCTAGACTTAATTAACAATACATTGGATCAATTTTGTTCACAGTGGAACAATCATCCAGTGTCAACTGAATGCAATTTTTCACCACAGCAGTTGTGGATCAGGGGGATGATAACTCAGAGCAGTTCATCATCTACCGCAGTACAAGATGTAGTGCAGCCTTCAATTTTACGCATTGATGAAGATGGTCCTGTCCCAGAACAACAACAACAAAACTACCAAGTTGTGGTTCCTCAGTATTCAGTTAACATTACAGTTGAGCAATTATATCATATTAGAAGAGAAATTCAGGCAGTGAGAGACAATAATGGAATCACGCAATATATTACAGCTCTTAACATAGCTTACTCTATTCTTTAATTAAAGCTGAGTTCATGTAACCAGTTGATACCAGCCATTCCAGGCATTAAAATAAGGAGTTTTATAAATCATACTTTTGAAAGATCTCACTAAAGTAAACTCCAGTGGCATATAGCCGGTGTCACTTTTTTTGTTTTTTTTTGAGGGGCGAACGCCTTTCGGCGTGAGATACCCTAGGAGGGAGGGGGCACTCTCCTCCATGTAAGATTTTTTCCAGTTTTGAAAAGTTCAAGAAAGACATATTTTATGATCTCAAATATGGTCAATAGGTCATACATGTAAACATTTTCTTCATTTCTTTCTCATCCTCGAGGATACATATTTTGATTTACTGTACAAGGACACACTTTTGGTTCACAATGACACAAAGTGTGCAAAAAACACACTTATTAAAAATGCCTGGATTGAGCGATTACGAAAATATGCCAATAAGATCATCTCTAACACTGGACATGAGCAAACAACAATATAAAATGTAATATTTTAAAACACAACGTGCTTTATATAGTGGTCTTTCCCTCCCAACAAAACTATAACAATAAATAGCAATTATAAACTCTACGACTGCATGTGACAATTGATTGAAAATAGTTTGCACATTTGCACCCAAGTGATTGTATAAATAACGTGTTGCATCTGGATTCAGGAAAGAGGGGTAAGAAAATCAGCACGAAGTAATTTTTTTCCTTCTTGCCGAATTGCTGCAGACATGCTTGAGTTAAATGATTCTTGGTCAAGAGTCGCTAACATCGCAGGCAGACATAGCTTCATTAAGCATGCAGAGGCAAATATCGATGCTGAATTGACCTCCAAAACAACGCGTGTAAATGGCACTGAGCTGATGCCAGTAATGAATTTTAACATGCTTTCCAATTCTAAAAAGATATAAAATTATATTAAAATACGGCTGACTTCTTCTGCCTCTTTGGAACTGTAAAAACTTGCATTAATGGGACCGATCCCCTATTAAACTAAATTTTGAACTAGGATTAGGAAATTCATTAGCATAGCTGGAAAGAACATCCCTAATTTAGTAAAATGTGGAAATTATAGCCATGCAAATTTCACAAATTTTGTATATATTTATATTATGCGCGGAAAATTAAAGTGTTCAAAATAGTGGTACCGCTTTTCCGCGCATAATATAACTATATACAAAGTTTGCGAAATTTGGATGGCTATAATTTCCACATTTTACAATATCTCGCAAAGAAACTTTGCAATTTTACTAAATTAAGGATGCTCTTTCCAGCTGTACTAATGAACTCTCCTAGTTCAGTTTAGTAGCTAGTAGCCTGTGTACAGCCGTTCTCTCGCGCGCTTCGTCGGGAGTAACGGCTGTTCACAGGCTATTTAATAGGGGATTGGTCCATTAACGCATAGTTAGTGTTAAATTAACTATGATTGAAGTACCAATGTCTTAGTTAATATTAGAAACATTTAGTAGCATATTAGGCACCCTGGAAATATTTTTTGAGGAACATAGTAGGGTGCACCTAGCACCAGCTAAGTAAAAAAAAGGTATTCCAGAGGGTCTAAAATCACTCTAAATATCAACATTTTCTGGGCATGTCCCATGGCCCCTCCCGCTATGTAGAGAGGTGACACTCGCGGCATTACATATTTCTTAAGGTTGCTGTACACTTAAAAGCTAACCACATGCTTTGTTGTATAGTAATAATATATTATGCAATATATTGTGTACTGCCACAGCCCCAAAAGACTGTACAGTAACGCCAGACAAATTTACTTGGCAACAACGCAATGCGCTCATTGCGCTGTTCCGTTGCAGGAGTAATAATTTTGCTAGGTATTTACACTTGGTTGTAGCGAATATTTTGTAAAAAATACAAAATCTGTTTTTCTCATGGACTCTACTCGATCTTTTTGTAAGTTATGCTCGTGTGTGTTGTATGTGTTGAAACCGAGAGAAAGTTTGGTCAGTGGTAAGGTACTGTCTTATAATAACATATATTAAAATGTTCAAAGAACTTCAAATACCTGCTCTGTTTTACTCGACGTCTGTAACAATTCCTCATCAAGGTCATCATCTTTGCCAATATTTTCATCAACCTTTATCCCAATAAAATAATGATACTGTAGACATAGTGAGCAGTGGCGTGGCCACAGTCTCGAGATTAAGGGGGGGGGGGGGGCTTAACAAGCAACCGTCGAAGATGCGAGTCTGCTAGGGGGGTCCGGGGACATGCCCCTTGGAAATTTTTTGAATTCTAGGGCCTGTGAGACTGCATTTCCCGCATTCTGAGGCGTCTTTTTTTAAAAATATCTTGAAAGCCATAAATGGCAACGTTTTGTTGTTTCCAAACCAAAAGAAAGTAAGGTACATGTCAAAATATATAAAAAATTATTTATGATTTGGCTAACTAAAGCCAACTTGGCCGTCATTTTCGAAGTCGCTCATGATCGTTGCTATCAGTGCTATGTGCGTAAATTCACCACCATAGGCATTTTTTACTTAGGAGTTAGGATTCTAGATTGGGAATACCACACAGACACACATCGTATGGGCTCCTTACCCCCTCCCTCTTCATGCCCGGATTTCAAATTTTCACAAGGGCAGGCCGTCGCGGCTCATGCCCCCCCCCCCCATGCGCCTCCCCCCCCCTTCGCTATGCCACTGATAGTGAGAGAGGTGGTGCAATGTACAGTGTGATCAAGACATTTTACTTACTATACCTACATATCACCATATCAATATGTCAAGTATTTTGTAACGTAAGTAACTCGTAATCCATTTAAAAAAATTATAATTACAGATGTGGTAAATACTATACTAGTGCACAAATTTTTTGGCCCTCCATTTTTTCTTGCATGAAAATATCTGACCTCCTCCCTGTAATTCAGAGTGTCTCTATTAACTTACCCAACTTCATTTCCATGGTTGTCGACAAGACGTTCGTGAAATAGACAGCTTATCGCCGCCCTGAGTTGACTTTCCTGGTATGTCTTCTGAAAAGACAAAGCATCAATATACAATTGTAAGCCTTTCTCAATAAGATTGGCTTTCGCCTTAAGTCTGGGTACAGTTCCCCAATTTTGCGAAGGTAACAAGGAAACATCTTTGAATGTCGGCTCGCACAGTTTTCCTTGCACCCACCCGAACGAGCTGCTTGCTTCCCCTTCCTTATTTTGTCTTTTCCTTGACTGTAATTCCGCAAATGCGAATAACTTGTCGACAAGGGTGTCGGACGAGAAGTTGAAGGATATGAAGCACATTGAAAGCTACTGCTACCTGCAACAGATGTATTTTGGCTTGACGAAGAAGCTTCATTGCCGTCAACGCCGTTTGCAACAGTCGCTAGACTTGCCGCATCTCTTGTCAACTCTTGGTATAGAAAAAACATTTCGTATTTCTTCTTCTCTTGATCCAAACCGGTTGGAAGAGTTCCCACTATTCGAATTGGCCGCCGATAAGCTGGGGACACTATGCAAATTGCTTATTACAGCTGCTACTATTCGCTGAATGTTTCTTTCTTCTTGTCGTTCCGCCATGCTGAACAAGGAACACATTTCTCGAGCTAGCGCCGTAGCGCGGGAAATTTTGGGGGTTCGCCGGCCTGTTTATTTTTAGTTTCTTACTACCTACGGAACTTTGTCCTCAGGCAATAAATACCTATTTCCGGTTTCATCCTGACAACTTCCGTATCCTCTCGAATATTATTTTTTCACTTCCTCTCGACTTCGATGAAAAAAAGTTGACTTCGAATATAGTATTTTGGACTTCGAATATCGTATTCTCGACTTCGTTTATCGTATTCTCGACTTCGATCCGAAAATATTTAACTCGTATTTTTGTCCGCAACGGAACGCCATATGCATTACTTGACATTTGCAAGCGAAGCTTTCTCCACTTCTGCAACATTCTATGACTCCGTTCTGGCATTCAAATCTACGTTAAATTAGTCTTCCTTAACTGCACCCTATCTGACTTTGTTTGTTTGTTTTCATTCTGTTCTCGCTCGCCTCGGACTATTTTGATGAACGAAAACTATTCCTGCTTGCTTTGTCCATGCAAATTGCCGCCATCTCAGTGCTAACGTCGATTGGATTCACCTGAAATCACATCACAAGTGCTCAAAACTACATGTTATTTTGTATATATGACGTGGCATGCCTTACTTCGCTTTTTCATTCAGTAATTCCATTCTGTCGAAGATTATTGACGCGCGCAACGCGTCGTTTTATCAAGGGGCAATTGATAAAACTAGAATAGTGAAGCGAATAGTGCGAATAGTCGACGAATAGTACGAATAGTCCGCGAATAGTACGAATAGTCCGCGAATAGTCGACGAATAGTACGAATAGTCCGCGAATAGTCGACGAATAGTACGAATAGTCGACGAATAGTACGAATAGTCCGCGAATAGGCAACGAATAGTACGAATAGTCGACGAATAGTGCAATAGAGACTTTGCAAGGTTTTGCAGCAGTGCTGTAGAACTAAATTTACCGGGGGAGGGGGGGGGGCTCTGTTGCAGAGTTGTAGACTCGAGTCATGTGACTTTGACTCGCAGGGCCGCCGAGAGCTTCGCGGGGGCCCGGGGAAAAAAATTTTTTAGGGGCCCCATATTGCAAACAAAATTTTCGGGCAATAATTTCTTTTTAGGTAAAAAATTTTTCAGGACAAGTACGTTGTAATTGCTTTCGTGGGACTTTTCCGCAATTTTCCATATCAAATTTCGGTACTTTGCCCCCGAAACACAAATATGTCGGCCCGAAAACAGAAATATTTCGCCCGAAAAAATGACTGGGGCCCAACATTAAATTTTTAGGGTCCCCTGGAGCCTCGGGGCCCGGGGCAATTTCCCCCCCCCCTGCCCCCCCCTCTCGGCGGCCCTGCGGACTCGAGTCGCAATTTTTGTGACCTGTGACTTGACTTGTTAAACTGATGACTTGTGACTTGACTTGGACAAAATGACTTGTGACTTGACTTGGACTTGCAAGAAATGACTTGTTACCAACGCAAGTCAAACTTAAATATCTAGTGAAAATCAAGTTTTCCAAAATCTTTGTGTTGATCGATCGATCGTCGTGTTGTACAATTTGGGCAACGACCTTTAATAGTACATATCAATGGCATCGACAGAATTTGTGCCGGCGTATTTTCTGACAAAGCGTTTTTATTAAATTATTATTATTTAAAAATATTTTAAAACGGTAGCTCTTCAGGGCTCGTAAGCACCTGTTTTTCAAGAGGCCGTTTATTACAGTATTTACAAGCTATATAAATATAATAACACAAATATACACACAAAAACAGAGAAAACATAACGAACTTAATAATTGCATGCACTACATTTGTATCTAAAAATATCCTATCCTATTTAAATATTTACAAAGTTACCAAAAGGAATCAAGTGCCGTCAAGAATACGTTTAAATTTGTTAAGGCTAATGCCTTTTTCTTTTGCTGTAGTTGATAAGTCATTCCAAAGGGATGCAGCTGAATAACTGAAGCTCTTTTCCATAAAATTTGTTTCAGGTTTTCCAAGATCATAGTTGTTATTGTTACTTCTTAAATCATATCTGTCATTTATTTTAATTTTGAACATGTTGCAAATTGATGATGGCATTTTTTCGTTTCGTATTCTGTGCATAAAAATCGATTTATTGGTTTTATAGCGTTGGTGTAAAGGTTGCCAGTCTAATTCTTTTAAAACATCCTCAGAACTAACTTCATAAGTTTTACCAGTGATGATTCGGGCCGCTCTGTTTTGTAATTTCTGAAGTCTGTTTTTTAAGTAATCACAACAGTTATCCCAAACCAAGCTACAGTAATCAAAATGTGATAACACAATGGCATTATATATTTTTACTAAGGTTGATTTGGGAACAAACTGTTTTATTCGTCGCATCATTCCTATTCCTTTTGAAGCTTTTGTGACAATATTTTGGATTTGATGATTCCATAAAAGATGTTCATCAATAATTACGCCTAAAGTTTTTGATTTGTGAACCCGTTTAATGACTGATTCATGACCAAGCTCAATTTTAGGGTCCGTTAGTACTAAGTTTGAAATTCGTTGTCTTGAACCAATAATCATGTATTCAGTTATATTTTTGTTAAGTGTAAGTTTGTTTGCAAGTAACCATTGGTGTATATTTCCTAAGTCCACGTTAATGCGTTCTTGTAGTTCGTCATTTGTTTTGCCATTGGTTGAAACATTTGTGTCATCGGCAAACATGCTTGCTGAAGATGAGGTCAGGCAGTTTGGCAGGTCGTTTATGTATAATAAGAAAAGAAGTGGCCCAAGATTAGAACCTTGGGGTATTCCACATTTAACTGTTCTTGTCTTGGACATTGTTTGATCTACCTTACATATTTGAATCCTACTAGAAAGATAGGACTGGAACCAAGCAAGCGTATGACCTCTTATTCCATAACAATGCATTTTTTTTAACAATATATTATGATCAACACAGTCAAACGCTTTCTTGAGATCCAAAAAATCACTCCATTTAACAAACCCTTATCCATATTCATTAGCCATTGGTTCGTGATGTTAAGTAGAGAAGTTTGTGTAGAGTGATTTTTCCTAAATCCTGCTTGTTGTTCTGCAAGAATGTGATTAGTTTCAAGATAAATTTCTAGTTGCTCTGTAACTAATTTCTCATATATTTTAGCAACTGAGTATAGAACCGAGATTGGTCTATAATTATCGCAATTAGTTTTGCTTCCAGCCTTATGAATTGGAGAAATGATAGCAATCTTGAAGTCTTCAGGAAATATACCAGTGTTTATAGATGCGTTAAAGATTGCTGACAGGGATGGTGCTATTACTTCAGCAGCGTCTCTTAGAAGTTTACCGGGTATTCTATCATGCCCTGCTGATTTGGATGTTTTAATTGTAGAGAGCAACTCATATACCTTAGTTAATGAAACATTTTGTATCGTAAATTGTGTATCGGACCTAGTCACATATGACTCAAATGTCCTTGA